AGTTGCTCAGGGCCTCGCTCAATTGCTGAGGCTGGCTTTGAACTCTAGATCCTCCTGCCTCAGCCACCCAAGCTGCTGGGGTTAGAGATGTGCGCCACCACACCTGGCCCAGGCTGCTGATCTTGACACCACGGTTTTTGCCAATGAGACATGTTTCTAATGTCCAGTGTGCTGACTGGAACGGCCTCTGTGGTTGATGGGCTGGGGGGGGGATGTTGATGCTCTTGGGTGACCTGGCCTGAAGAATGGCCCTTCTGGCTACCCAGGGACCTATGGCCCATGTCCTCCAGCAGTGCACTAATAGGAGCACCTGTCTGCTCTGGAGCAGAGATTAAGCTAATGGACATCAGACACCACACTGAATCTGCAAAAATTCAGACTCACAGCAAAGTAAGACCAGCAGGACAAGCTCAGCTCTGGGGACACGGGGGACACGGGGGTGAGGGGATGCCTGGGAGGCCTGGAAAGTCAGCCAGGGAACCCAGGGCAGGTGGCCTGCTGAGTCAGTGAGTCTCCTAGATGGGAGCCCAATATAGTGTCCTCTGGGGTGTATGTCCAGCCTAGCATATAGCTCACCTCAGCCCATCCCTGAGCATGTTCTTCTGGGAATGCCTGCCGCCTGGTTTCAGAGCCACCTCTGACCTCTGTGTTCTCCTTGACCAATGTAGGGTGGCATCAGTTGCTCCCTTGGGATGTGGAAGGAAGGACAGTTCCAGGGATATGACCAAAGCCACTCCTCTCTCTTCACCTCTAGACTTTCCACCTTGGAGTTAGCCTGCAGTTCCTGGGCTCAAGTCTCTTGGCCCTCCTTCCTCAAGTCCCTCTCTGGGCATTCTGGGGGCTCAAGAGGCACCTTCAGCTCTGCCTCAGTGCCCCCTTCAGCCTTTCGCTTTCTCTGATCAGAGGACAGACAGCACACGGTGGCCCTTAGAGAAGATGTCTTGATGAGAAACTGCTTTTCTGGCCCTCATGTGACCCTTTCACCAGGCCTGTGATGTGGGCAGAAACTCAAATGGCCTGTTAGGGGTGAGGAAATGAGGCTGAGTGTAAGCATGTGCCCCAGCAGCCTCAGGTTCTTCTGGCAGCTAAGCCTTAGTTTGCTTGTATATAAAATGGGCCTTTCATCTTGCGCGTTCACTGTCAGTGCAGTGCCCCCTTCTCCATTCTCCATTCTGCCCTGGGCCCCAGAGGCCAACCTTTCCCAAGCTTATAGCTCTCACAGGTTCTAGTGCCTTCCCTTGCTCCAGATGGAAAGAACTTCTGCGGCTTCTATCCCCGACCGCTTCACCAGCCTTTTTTTGGTCTCTCTCTACCTGCTCTGTAAGTTTCCCTTCATCAAACCCTTTCAGTCACCCCCCCTGAGTGTGCCGTCCGTCTCCACGCAGGGCCTAGCTGCTATAATACTGAGTACAGAAAGGCCCTGGGAAGCAGAGACTCGGTGGGACGCTGGGATTGGGCTGCTCTCGCATGAATAAACTGGGCAGGCACTAATGGACCATGGTAATCTGTGGCACACAGTGTCATGGTTACTCACTTCACAACCAGCAATGGCATGAGATGATTGTTACGATGCTGGCAGATCAAGTAACTGTGGCATTTAGTCACTATGGTGACAACAGTAACTAAGAAATAGTGACAAAGACTGTGGTGTAGGCTTTGGATTGCCCTAGAAACTCACACAAAGAACAGGACAGACTGAAAGCCATGAATTCCCAGTTTAGTGTGAGATTGGAGATTCAGAAAGGCCCAGGATAGCTTGAGAAGTTTTTTTTTTTTTTTTTTTGGTACTGGGAATTGAACCCTGGAGTGCTTTCTACCACTGAGCTACATCCCCAGCCCTTTTTATTTTGAGACAAGGTCTGGCTGAATTGCTGAAGCTGGCCTTGAATTTGCAATTTCCCTGCCTGAGGCTCCTGAATCACTGCCCCTGGCGGTAGGAATCTTTGATCTCTACCTGCCACAGGGTGGATATGGCTGAGGACTAGCTTCAGTCTGACCATAAGGATCACAAAATCAATTAAATGCACAGCCCCACCAAGCTTCTTACTCCCAGAGAACAACACACCCAGAGAACAACACCGTTTTTTTGTTTTTAATATTTATTTTTTTAGTTGTAGATTTGACACAATACCTTTATTTTATTTTTATATGGTGCTGAGGATCGAACCCAGGGACTTGCACGTGCTAGGTGAACACTCTACTGCTGAGCCACAGTCCCAGCCCCAATACTGGTAAAGGTGGAGTGGGACTCTGGGACATGGGATAGAGCTGTTTGGATAGAACTTTGAACCACTGAGTCTCCCTTTCAAAGGCAACCCCCTACCACCTTGGGTTGGAGGAAACCAGTCTTTGTGTAAAAGTCATTCAGTGACTTCACTTGGGACATTGGACTCCCCCAGGTGACTCCTAACACTTCTCCTCACCTCCAGGCCTACAATGAGAATTATATTCCAGTAGAATCCAATCAGAAAAGGACAAGGCCCACCCCCAGGAGGAGGTACCTTATGCATTCAAAGAGCTGCCAGAATCTTGCCAATTTGTACTGGCAGAGTCTGGGTAGCATCTTGGAGCGTTAGACTAAGGAAGACAAAATCTTAGATGGGGCCAATATTGGTTGTTGTGGGTGTTCTCACCAGGATCCGGTGAGATCCTGAATTGTGTCAGCTTGGCCAGTCTGACTAATTGGAACCTGGATTCAATCATGGCCTAACAAAGAGGCAGAGGGGCTCGGACTTTCCTGACCAGCTGTAGAGGAAGGCTGAGGGAGATGGGAATGTGGGAATGTGCCTACTCTGCTCACGGCCCTTTTTCTGAAAGGCTCTGGGCTGGTTTTCTTCTATAGACTGGAGATAATGTAGGAGATGCCAAATGGAATTTGGCTTCTTGATTTTCTACCCCTAACGAGAAAAAGATCCTGTGGTGGTAGAAACCAGCTGACAACAATGAGCCAGGGACAAGGGACTTTTGATAATAAAGCCCAGGGAAGGAATAGTGATCAGTATTTTGTTATTGTTATATTTTTAAAAATAAAAACTGCAGATTTATTCTGCAAGGGCCCAATCTAAGAAGCTGGAGGTGAAGGGTGGAGGTGGAGGTGATTCCTCCCCTTCCTCTCCTTCTCCCTCCCTTTCTGCCCAGGAGTTAAAAATGGTCCAGACCCCCAAACTTGCCCTAATAAAAAAACCCCCAAAAACAAAAAACAAATTGAGGTTTCAGAAAGTTAAAGCATCTTAATTCCTCATAGAAAAGGGAAGGAGCCAGAGGGCAGGCAGGTGGTTCCCTGGGGTGGGGGGAAGTACCCCAGCCTGGTGAGACATCCACCCTTAAACAGCTGCCCCAAATGGGCTAGCCTGGGAATATAGCAATTAAACATTTCCACACCCCATTTTATGAAAACCAAAGAGGAAAAAAATTTTCCCTTTCTCCCAAACCCAACTAAATATATGTGTATATATATATATATGTGTGTGTATACTTTTTCTTAAAAATGAAAACAGAAAAATCCGAAGACATTAGGCGTGAAAGTGAATCCAGAACAAGGGAATGTGAAATTCCCTCTTTCCTTCCCCCCTTATTATGGGATTCATTGGTACATCCCCGGAAGAGGAACCAGCCCCAAAGGGACAGCAGATGGGAGAGACCAATGGGAGCAAAGGGTGGGGGCCTCCCCAGCTACTCAATAAGCCAGCATGGATGAGGGCAGGGCACCAGGGAAACCACACCCCCTTGAAATTTTCTAGGTGGGACCAGGAGGGGAGAAGAAGAATTCCTGTGTAGTCTTCAGTCAATTCCATGTCAAGAAGAGGCAGGGTGACAGGCGGGGAGTATGGAAAAAAGGAATGGGGTTTGGGGGTTCCTGTGGTCAGGGGGAACCCCAATTCCTCAGCTCCTGGACAAGGGCTTCAATTATCTCCTCTTTAACCTTCTGTAATTCCTTCCTCACCTCTTCCAGAAGCTCCCTTTTCACCCTCTCCAGGTCTGACTCTTCCCCATGGCTGGAGGGCTGGGCCTTGGAAGCAGTCCTCGAAGAAGAGGACTTCATCCTCAGCAAGGCTGTGCTGTTCTTCTCCCAGGGTCTTGGCACAGGTTCACTCTGGGCTGGGCCTCTGGCCCCTGGCTCCTCCTGACTAGCAGATTCTTCCTTGGGTTTCCCTCCAATCTGTGTGGCTTTTCTTCTCTGGGCCAGCAAGGCAGCCATCTCCTCCATGAACCCTGGACCGGTGCTTCGACTGTTCTCAGCTTTGGGGCCCAGCGGTCTTCCTGAGGTCTCCTTCTGCTTGTTGACTTTTCTAAGTTTGGCTCCCCAAATGGCTGCAGCCAAGCCAGGGGCTCCTGCATCTCCACCATTCCATCCTTGTGCTGCAGAGAGAGGGATCGCAGGAGATGTGCCTCCCCCTACTCCATGCCTTGAAGCCAGGACCCCTGAGGAGGGCAATCCTGGGGGTGCGGAGGGACCCGGAGGACAGGGAGGTCCTGGAGGCGGGGGTGGTCCCCCCACTGGGTGAACAGGTGGGCTTCCTGCCTTGGTGACCCATCCCTTCCTCTCCACTTCCTCGGGCTGGCTGGGCCACTGCCTTTTCTGCTGCTCCACCTCCTCCCTGGTGGAGCGTGCCCAGGCAAGGGGTGCTGAGGGTGCTGAGGGTGCTGGGAGTACTGGGGGTGCTGGGGGTGCTGGGGGTGCCGGCGGCCCGTCTCCTTCCAAGGCCTGTAGAGCACTGGCCCTGCCGGCAGCCGGCTGCACCACGTCTTCTTTGATGCTGAAGTTGAGGCCCCAGACCTGGCGGGCGTCTCGCCACTGATGGAAGTTGGGGGTGGCCTGATTGTACCTGACGCCCCGGACGATGGCACAGTTGCTGACCACCTGCTGGCCGGGCTGCATCTTGCCTTCCTCCGACAACCTGGAAGGAATTGGCCGCGGGGTTGTGGTAGATCTGGACACCGCTGAAGCCTGGGGACCCGTGCTGGCAGGTAGCCACCGCTCGTTGCCATCGTCACAAAGCATCACAGTAGCCGGCTGGAACAGATAACCGTCTCGCTCTGGCTGCTCGGCGGCTGGCGGCGCGCCCACGGGCAGGGTGTTCCGGGGGCGCCCCTGGATGGAACTTCAGGGGTTCGGGTTGGCCCCAGGTTCTGCTCCGTCTCCCCCAGGGTTCTGCCCCATACAGCCTGGCTTCCGGGGGGAACGAGGACCGCGTTCCGGTGGGTCCTCAGGTGCCCCTTCCCTATGGTAGTTTGATTGGGGGGAGGGGATCCCTGAGACAGAAAGTGGGTGCGGCGTCACCTCCCCGGCCCGGTCTCCCTGCAGCGGGCATCGGCTGCAATGTTACTCTTACAATGTCCTTGAAATTCTCTTGGCTACATTTCTTTCCCCAATTCCACCTGATCGGTGTTTTTGATCCATTTGGATCCGTGTGAAGGCTAATTGATCATGGGTCCCTAGAATGCTAGGGGGTGGGAGGCATAGCATCTAATTTTTTTTTTATTTTTAACTTAAATAAGTGGAAAAACTCTACTAGATCTGGTGGGTAGGAACCTGGTTGAAGTTTTCCTGATGGGGGGTCACTACCTATTACCCAGTTTTCCAAATTCCTTGGCTGAGGGGGCCTTTGAGGAACGACTCGGCAAGGCTGCCATAAGTGGGCACTGCGAATTCCCCGTCTCCTCCAGCAAGGCCTGTAGTCTCCTTGTGAAAGAGGAAAATTCTGGCTCTGAACTGATGATAACCTCTGGAGACTCAACACTCCACATGGCCCACCAGTTAGAGGCGGCTTATGAAAGTCAAGTCTCAGCCTGAGTGCATAAACTGGGACCACAGACCTACCCCGTGTCTGGATATTAAGTGGCCAAATCCCCACTGATTTCCTGACTCACAGTGAGGGTTAAAAACTGACCTTCATTGGAAAGTGCCAAATGGAAGTCACTGAATTTACCATCAAAATATCAAGCCAAAGGCAATATGCATCCCTAGTATAATTTCAGCTATTAGAGCTGCCATTAAATATCTAAAAGGTAGAGACAGTCCTTCCTAACCTGATCCAGTGTATCTCACTTATCTGACTGATGTCAAAACCAGCTGGCCTTGGGATGGTGGCAGATGACTGGAGAGTTAGGAATGCTGCCAGTTGCAGCCATGCTCCCAGATGAGGAATTTTTACTGGAACAAGTCAGCCCATCCTTGGGTTTGTGTGCATCTTCCATCCCCAAATGCTCTCCTTTCCATTCCACAAAGTAAAGGTAGTTATAAACACAGGGACAGCAGTGACCTTTACTCTGACCTCAGGGCTTTGACTACTCTCCCAGTGTCTATCACAGTATAGCCCAAAGGTCATTGCTTATGTTGACAGAGTTAAAAACAGTATGCTAGCCAATTACACTGATAATGTGATGGTTAATTGGGCCAAGTGAACAAGAAATTATAAATAATTTTGTAAAAACATGTTTGCCAAACGAAGGGGGATAAATCCTACAAAAAAATTTGGGGGTTTCCATATCAATGAAGTTTCTAGGGGATATGGTTTCTAGGGGATCCAGACATGTCAGGATCTGTCTTCAAAAATGAGAGACAAGGGCTGGGGTTGTGGTTTGGTGGTGGAGAGCTTGCCTAGCATGTGTGAGGCACTGGGTTCGATTCTCAGCACCACATATAAATAAATAGATACTTTTTAAAAATGAGAGACAAGTTGTTGAACTTTATACTTCCCACTATAAAAGAAAGAGGCAAAAGATGGGACTTTGGATTTTTGAGGCAACATATGGCACATTCGGCTGTGTTGTTTTAGCCATTTACTGGAAAACCCATAAGACTGTAAGTTCTGAGTGAGGCCTGGAGCAAGAGAAGGCTCTGAAGCAGGTGCAGGCTTCAGTGCTCGCTGCCCTGTCATGTGAGTGTTATCACTGGGAAGTGACCATGGCAGAAAACGATGCCATATGGACAAGCTCCAATCCAAGACCCACGGCACAAAACCTTAGGGTTTTGGATTAAATTGTGCCCTCTCCTGCCAACAACTATTCTCCATTTTAAAAACAGCTCCTAGCTCACACTGGATGTGGTAGAGACAGAATGCCTGACTGTGGGACACCAAGTGACCCGTGCAGCCAGAACTGGAGATACTCTGCCCCACCTCATCATAACGTCGGACACACATGGTGGCACTCTGTTATTACATAGTGTAGATGAGATCGGGTCTGAGCAGGTCCGGAAGGCACAAGGAAATTGCAAGAGCAGGTGATTCAAATCCCCCTGGTGCTTCCTCTGATTGCTTCGCTGATCTTCCCTCAGTCCACACTTGGTGAAATTGCTATGACCTGTTAGCACAAAGGAAAAGCATAGACAAGATTTCCAAATGAGTCTGCATGGCAAGCTAGCAGACAGCCGCTGCTTCACAGGCACACTCAGGGTGCCCCTGAAGGACAGGATTGAGGGGAGAGCTTCCTGGTGGCAGATCGCTGACCATGTGGATGACCCACTTCTTGTAGAAGGAGAGACGATCCAACCTACAGATCTGCACTGATTTATGAGCAGTGGCTAACAACTTAGCTGGCTGGTCGGGGGCTTGAAAGCCACAAGGCTGAGATTGATGAGGAGGAGGTGCTGAGGGAGGTCATGGATGGACTGCTTGACACAGGTGTAAGTGGTGGAGCTATTTTTAACCTACTGGATGCTCTGAGAGGGCATCTTATATGGGGGAGGCTCTCTGTAATTGGATGGACAAAACGCTCTCTCCTGCAGAAAGAGATCAACTTCTTTCCCTGGCTACTCTGGTTCTTCCTCAATGAGCCCACATTCACAGAAGCCATGGTGGCAGGGACAGAAGCTATGCATGGCATGGTAGGTAGAATAAGAGCTTTCCTACCAAATGTCCATACTCTAATCCTTAGAACCTGCAAATATATTACATGCTATATGACAAAGTGTGAACTCAGGTGGCGGATGGAATTAAGATTGCTAATCAGCTGACTTAAAAGGGAGATAAGCCTGAATTATCTGAGTGAACCCAATGTAATCGAAAGGTTTTAAAATTAGGAAGAAGGAAACAGATGAGCCAGTGTGAGAGAAATGTGAGGTGAACACTTGACCAGCCACAGTTGACTTTAAGGATGGCGGGGCCCCTCTGGAAGCAGGAAAGGGCAGGAAAACAGATCTCCACTAGAGCCTCCAGAAAGGAATGCAGACTCGCTGGCACCTTGATTTTAGACCAATAAGACCGGTTCAGACATCTGACTTCCAAGGTTGTGCTCATTTGATAGCAGGGATAATACACAGAGACTCAACACATTTCCCTCATCAAATCTGACCTGGCAAGCGGGCAATGCTGTGTCCCAGTTGTCAACAGCAAAAGGCCAGACTAAGTTTCCCGTAAGGTACTCTCTTCCCTGGGGTTCCCAAGTCTCTTCAGTTCTGTGAAGTCAATTCTAATTTCATATATAGTAGGACATCATTTGCCTTTTTCACTGCCATTCTTTCAAGAGTATATAGTAGGCCAGGCACGGGAGTGCATGCCTGTAATCCTAGAAGCTCAAGAGGCTGAGGCAGGAGGATTTCGAGTTCAAAGCCAGCTTCAGCAACAGCGAGGTGCTAAGCAACTCAGTGAGACCCTGTCTCTAAATAAAATGCCAAAAAAAGGCGGGGATGGGATGTGGCTCAGTAGGCGAGTGCTCCTGAATTCAATCCCTGATACAAAAAAAAAAAAATTGTATAGTAAAAGTGTGCAATGGCACACATGTGTAATCCCTGGGACTCTGGAAGCTGAGGCAGGAGGATCACAAGTTGGAGGCCAACCTCAGCAATTTAGAAACTCTCAGCAACTTCTAAAGGACTGGGGATATAGTTTAGTGGAAAAAGTGTCCCTAAGTTCAAATTCTAGTGCCAATTATATGAATCTTTATTCAATTATATGAATCTTTACATATATATAAACATATAAACGTATATATATATGAATCTTCCAGATATACAGATGAAATGCTGAAGAATTAAGATTTTTGTTATTTGCCATTAAGCCAGACTCTGTCAAATAATGTCCCTCATCTCATCATTCTTGTTTTGAAAGTTATTTTTCATGAAAAATGTTATATTTATTATATTAACCTGTTTATTCACTTAAATAAATTACTATTTTAAACTTGACTTTAAGTTCTAATTCAGCATAATTGATACATAGAGTCCCCACAAAACACCTTAGGAGCCTCAATAATTTCTGAGTGTGAAGGGTTCCTAAGATCAAAACAACTGAGAAACACTGGCCTAGAGGGAACAGCCAGCCACCTATGAGGCGGCGGATAACTGACGCCTTCCCCTCCTTCATGAAGGAGTCGTTATGCATTACTTCGTGGTAATAAATGTGTGTTCCCAATCTGGACTTGCCTTCCCGCCTCGGTGCTTCTGCCAGCACCCTCCCTTCTGGATTCCATAGCACATCTCATTCATCACTCTGCCATCCCACACACTGCCCGCCTACCTTCATTTTATGGTGAAGGACGTCCAGCAACGGTCTCAGCCACGGTCTGCACTGGTCTTATGATGAACCCTGAACGATGTGCCCTGTTGCCGGGCGCAGCGGTGCACAGCAGGGTTAGGGCACCAGCTGGGGGGCAGCAGGCTGGGAGGCTGGGTTGATGATGGAGGCAGCACATCCTTTAAGTCAGCAGCCAAGGTATGGCTTCCCCTCCCACAGCTCAAATGATAGGCCCAGGGACCCAGGGGTGGATACAGGAGTGTCCCTTCTATCATTCCAACTCATTTACTGGAGGGGTTTTTGCTTTTTATCCCCTCGACTTTGTGGTTCAGAGGGTCTGGAGTCCTTAATGCCTGGATGTGGGGTGCTTCCAGGGAACACAAGTATGGTTCAAGTTGGGAGTGAGCTTGGCCAGTTGCTTAACCAAAAGGCCGAGAGGCAAGTCAACTGCACCAAACAGGGTGATTAGTTTGGATTACCAGAAGGAAAACAAGTTCCTGCTACATAATCCGGCAAGCAGAGGGGACAAGAAGACTATGACTGGATTCAGGAGATTCACCAGAAGCCTCTAATAATGATGTTAGTGGGAAACTTGGCAGCCCAATTGACATCAGAGCTGTAAGAAGCTCAGCTATGTAGGAACAAAGCTTTAGGACAGGGCTGAGGATTTTGCCAAGCATATGTGAGGCCCTTGCCCCACCAAAAAAAGTTTTGGATACCCCACTAGATAAAAATTCCAGCCAGCCACAGTGCTGGTAAGAGGGACAAGGAAGCGGGTAGCAGGATGTTGGGACTATTATCTTAGGCCCCAAGACTAACTAC